AAAAGAAGAGGTTGAATGCCAGGACTGGCAGGAGGAGACAAGATGCACCTTTAGCAGTAGCAAATTCTGAATGGCTTGTTGACATATCATGCATAACACCCAGAAGGTGTCCAAGGGAGATAAGCATGACAATGGGAGAGCAATGGAAAAAGTATTTTGGCAGGTCTGGGATCTCTGGAGTCAGAAAAATTTTGGGGCGAGCGAGAGAAGGGAGAATCTCTGTGGGTGCTCTTGGCTGTGCAGGTTGGACAGGGGATCCAAAGGGGTTAAGAGAACCTCTGGCTGGGCCGCCTTTGCCCCCATAAATGCCTTTATGGAAGAGACTCTCTGCTGTGCCGCTTGTAACTTTGGGTTGCACTTGGTCCCTACCCCAACAGAAGGTGAAGCCCCTCTCTCAGGGTGAAACTGGAAGCTAGCTCCTTGAGTCAGGGCCATGGAAAACTGGGGAAGGTGAGAGACTGAAAGGCAAGGGGTCTCAGAGTGGAAAGCTTTCAGAGACCAGACGAGGACTTGGTGGTCCCAAGCAAGTAAACCCTTGGAGGCCATGGAACAGTTTCACACAATAGATGCCCCACTTATAAATCAAACTACATCCATGAGGCACAGAACCCAGGAAACTTGTTTTAAAAATCAAAGTCACACTCACATCAATTACTTTCCATTAGATCAGTAATATATTTAGCTTTTGACTTTTAAGCCTGCTAAGTATATTCATGCAGTACCTGGGCATGTGATGGTGGAAGTCCTCTTCTTATATAAACACCAAAAAGAGCATCCTTCCCTAAGGAAATGTTGAACTTGAGGAACTGTGGCTGGCTGATGTGGATCTGAGACCTCCAAAATACACCTGGTGGTACTTCCTGGGTGACTCTGCGTCCAACCTCTGCCTCCCCACTGTCTATGCTGCTGTTTCTAGTAACCCAAGGTCCTAGAAGACAGAAATAAATATTAATTAGGTGATACTTTAATTGAAAGACAGACATTTTCAGGAATGAACACCATTTATGATGAACTGCTGAGGCAATATTACTTTTTAAAACAAATCTCTCTCTTTTTATAAGACTTCCCTTCATTTGCATGGATGCAATATCATTGCTTTCAACAGGCTTGTAAGAATTTGGCCCCAAGGTTTTAAAGCTATAAACTCATTCCCTAGGGTATCTGAAATCTTGTGTGCAGCTCTTCCGCTTTTTAATTCTATGATTGCTCTTTACTGATCAAATATAATAAGGGCAGAGTGCCAGTTAAGCACATACAAAGCTCCTTGTGCTCTTTTCAGCCATAACTTGAAGGTGACCAGGATATGAAAATGATTATGAAGACAAGTTAAAGGGGTAATTTCAGTCCAATATCACTGACTTTTATTAGTCATGTTTAATATCCTAACCCAGTCCAATAGTCCCTTTTCACAAACAAACAAAACATATAAAAATGTAAAGCCTGAATAAGGAGAGAGAACTGTTTGATAGCTCTAACTGTCTGCTCTAACTTCTTGAGAAAGAGAAATTGTTATAACTTAAGTATTAGCTTTTAAGCCCTGTTTAACTTAGGTTCTGGTTACCTGGGTTCTTTCCCTTATGTAACAATATATGATCAGGTAAAATACACTTGCTGATGGTCCCTAGACATGAATTACTGAAGCCAGGAGGTAGAACTTTTCTGGAAGCCTGTGTCTGGCTTTCTATGCCTGAAATCATTAGCCTGCAAGAACACAATGCAGCAACATTTCAGTTAGAAGGTGTGGGCACTTGGTTTACTTTTCCATCTACTTTGGACTTTTTTCATGGCCTTTTTTGGTCTTAATCATGGGGAGGGAAGGGAGAGACTGTTAGTAATGCAGTTCATCTCAGGCACAAACTGATATTTGATTTTGTGCATGATGAAGCTTGGTACACAGTGATGAATGTATTTCAAGTTTTTAAAATACATCAGATAAGATCAGAGAACTACAAAGAACATCCATTATGCTCACAAGCATCTAAGACCACCTCCTGATGTCACCATCGCTTCTAGCTAATGGGTATTTGAAACATAAAGTTTCCATATTTACTTGATTCCAAGATGAGTTGTGTTCCCCACCCCCAGCCACAATTCAACATGAGGAAGAAAAGCCCTTTGTCTTGGATATAAGTACAAGGCAGAGGGGGCAAGACGCTGCATCTCCAAATCCAGATCAGGGCCAGTGTCAGAGCTGCAGCAGCTGCTTGCACCCAACTCCATCTACCCCTCTCCCTGTTCCTTCTCTCAGTCACAGCTCCAGCTCCAGCTCCAGCTCCATGCCCTCCTGGGCACCAAGCACATGCAAGCCCTGGACCCTGCAGCTGTGGCAGCAGCAGCTCCAGATGCAGGACATCTGTGCTTGACCAGGCATGAGCCAGAGCTTGCATGTTTTCTGTGCCTGGGAAGGGAAGGAGTCAGCACCAGAGCCATTTTTGACAGGAAGCATCTGGGGGCAGAAGTTGCAGGAGAGCAAAGGATGCTGCAGGGTTGAGGAGAGCAGACAGAGGCTGCAGTGGGGGGCAGAGGCTGCAGGGAGGACAAGCGGTGGGGTCCCCCTGTGCTTCTGTGCTGCTTTCCCCACTTTCCACAGCCCCTGCTCCCTACAACCTCTGCCTCTCACTGCCTCTCTTCCCTGCCTGTCTTGTGGCTTTTCCCACTACTCTGGTGTGGGGAATGAATTTCAGATGACCTCTGAATAATTAGATTCTATACATGGAAAAGTATACAAATTTATACATTTTCCATATACAGAATCTAATTATTGGTGGTTCATCTTAAATTCAAAGTCATCTTGGATATGGCTAAATACAGTGATACTGTTCATATCCACTAGAAGCACAGCTATTTTCTGCCCCAGTGTAAACATTACTTTCAAAAGAATATATGTCTGGAAAGGATCCCTGTACAACAGTGAATGACTTTATGGACATAACAGGACATAACAGCATGGCATGTAACTGCACTCAATCGTGGCAGGTAAGTACCAAAGCGTCTACTCTGTTTTCATAACATGCATTACGTATGCATTACAGCATGATTTAAATTTTAAACTCCACATTACCTATACTTCTGGCACTAACATTTGCTGTTAAAGATATTACCTCTTAAAGATACTGCCATGTGTGCTCACATACAGATGCATGAAGGAATAAAACACTGAGACACCAGTGCCAGCTTCTTTCTCAGGCAGCAAGGAGAAGAGATGAAGTCCAGTGTTAACCCTTTCATAGACACTCTATTTGACAACAGTTTTTGACTGAGCAGGTGCCAGTTTGAGAGCAGGTGTGAAAAGGTTAACACTAGACATCACCTCTCCTGTTTGCTGTTCAAGAAAGAAGCTGATAGCCAGCTTGCAGCAATACCTCTCCCTGAAAAAGCCAGTTCCAGGCCATGCCTTGAAAAATCTTTTTTTCCCTGCACTTCACTTTCCAAAAACTAGGTGCCTCTCTTATTTGGGGGGGTGTGGTATGCAAGGAAATACAGTATATTTACACATTTTAAACTAACAAAGGAATGCTTTGACTAAGAGTTGCTAATCTTTAAGCAGGAGTTTAAATAAGTTGTGTCTGAATTGCTAGGTTAACAGGTCTTCAACAGTAAGTGAAAAAGGAAAGGGAAGTGCAAGAATGTACGGGCTACAAATGGAACACAAAGAATTAATATAATGTCCAACAAGGTACCCATGTAGTAGGCCTGTGTGAAGTGGCCAGTATTCACTTCGGATTTGGATTCAGCTGATTCGGAGGGACAGTGATTTGATTCCAAGATTTGAATCACTGTCCTCACTTGATTTGGCTGAATTGGATCCAAAGATTTGGCGCCACTTCGGAGTCATATACTAAACAGTCAGCAGTCCTCACCGCACTGGACACAGCTGCCTCCAGCTGGTAAGTCTGTTGTGGTGGGTGGAGGGGGGAGGAAAGGGGAATGGGGGAGGAAGGGATTGGGGATGGGGCTCGGACAAGTTGCCCAGCTGGGGCGGCACAGGACTCAGGGAGGGGAGCAGGGGGGGTGACGTGGGACACGGGCGTGGCAGTGCTGGAAGCGGGGGCTATGCCCTGTTGCTGCTTGCCCAGCTGGGGCAGGAGGGCATGGGATGAGGGCACTGCCACCTCTTCCCTAGCTGGGGTGGGGTGGGGCGCTGCTGCCACTTGCCCAGCCGGGGGAGCGCGGGGGGCGTGGGATGCAGGCATGGCAGCACTGGGAGTGGGGGCTATGCCCTGCTGCTGTTTGCCCCCTCTGCCCAGAGCAAACTGTGCTTATATCATGCCCCCCACCCCACCCCAGCTGGGCAAGCTACAGAAGGCATTGCCCCTGCTCCCAGCACTGCCGCACTCACGTGCTGCATACTCCCCCCCCTCTTCCTGGGCCCACACCCCGCCACCCCCTGGCTGGGCAGCTTGCCCTAGCCCCAGCCCCAATCCCTCCCTCCCCATGCCATTCCCTCCCACCTCTGCCCACCACAACAAACTTACCAGCTGGAGGCAGCTGTGTGCAGCGTGGTGAGGACTGCTGCCTGTTTAGTCTATGGCTGAATCTCTGAAGTGGCGCTGTATCTTTTCTGAACTGATTTGGAGGCTTCTGATTTGATTTGGACCTCTTAATTGGTCTCCTGATTCAATTTGGATTTGGAGATTCAGCCACCAAATTGAGCCAAATTTCCCCCGAATCAAATCAGTTACCAAAGCTTCACACAGCCCTACCATGTAGCCATCCCTGAATGACACATCACCGTAAGTATTCCTGATATATCAACAACAATTTTCACCTCCCTAGTCTTTCAGCAGAGAATCTTAAAGTGTACACATTAATGAATTAAGGTCTCACAGGACTGCAGTTCCATCAGCATCACTTTAATTATACATGTGAGAACACTAAATACAGAAATATTAAATAGTTTGTCCAATCTCACTCAAAATCAGTGGAAGAGACAGGAAGTGAACATAAAAGCTGAGGACTTCCAGTGATCAGCTTTCAAAACTAGCTTATACTTCTGTTTTAAGTTGCAGGGATAAAAGGTGAACTTCAAATTTCTGCAAATTGTATCTCCTGTAAATAGTCTATTGCAAACTGAATGCAGGTAGTTAAATGCTCTACTGAATCTGTTCCTCAAGTAGCCTCAAATTATTCAGTAACTTAACAGGCAGAAGCTTGTTTTTCACAAGCAGTGAAAATTAAAACTGAAAATAAAAATTTCCAAATGTCATTGCAAAAGCAGATGTGCTTAATAGGCAGTGCTTTAGTGCCCTTTCCAGGAAGAACTTTAGGGCTAAGTACAGACATTCAAAAAGCCTAAGCCTGAATTAATTCAGTCTTTGCAAGTCAGTCTAACCTGTGTAGCCTGAACTGATTTGCAAGTGAATAAACATTCACTTTTGATTCCAGAAATGCAGGCAAATGCCAGCAGTGACTCAGACCAGAAGCCAAGGAGCGCTAGAGCGAACCCTCCCTTCCTTTCCACAGTGGCCGGGTGCGGGGAAACTAAGCTTAGCGAGGGTGTGTGGCCAGGCCCCAGCAGACCTGAGGATGACTGGGGAGAGGTTTAAACCCCTATGCTGCCCTGGCCTACAGAGCTGCTGCAGCCTACACAGGGTGAGTGGCAGTGGTGGGGCTCAGAGGTGTGGCTATGGAGAATTTTGGGGTGGCCATAGCCTCCCAATCCTCCCCTAGCATGCAGGCTCCAGCAGCTCTGCCTGCCCTGCTCCCATTCACACCACAGCCCCCTCCCCCCACCCCAGGAAGAGGCTTGTGTTCTCCGGGACACCATGTCAGGGACTGTGGCCCCATCTGGGTGGCAGGTTTCGGGGCATAGCCAGATGCTAGCCAGCATGGTCCCCTGAGGTGAAGGGGCAGGGACAGGGTTTATTCCCCCCTCCCCTTGAGGAACCCCAGCTGGGGTCTGCGTGGCCAGGTTTGAGTGGCAGAGGC